GGCAGGGGCTGCCCTGGGCTAGGCGGGATGTCCCGCACCCGGAATCGGGCTGAGCACCTCGTGCCGGTGCTTGCTTTCACGCCCGAGCCGGAGCGCTGGGAGCGTGTGGTGCTGGGGAGCCCGGCAAAGAGGGGGTGCCCTCGCTGCCTGGCCTCTGCTAAACCTCACCTGGAGGGATGGGGAGCCTTTTGGGCAAGCTGTCTCTGAGGGCTGTGCTCAGACTGGTGGGCATTTACTTGCCAGGAACCTCACAGGAACGCAGAGGGGTACCTCTGACAGCATCACTCACAAGTGCTTCCAAAGGTGCGTACACCGGTAGCCAGAGTTAGCGCAAATAGGTGTGTAAACAAGCCCACACACTTATTTAGGCAACATGTTTGCGTAGGTCTTATGGATTCCCATGCCCCAGCATGGGATGGGGATTGCGATCCAATGGCATATGAAGCAAAAGCACAGTGAGAGTCAGAGAGCCACCTGCGAAAGCAGAGACTCTCTCACACACATACACACTTCCTCAGACCCTTCTGACGACCAGGCTGGGCCATGTCCCTTGAGGTGGCACACTGGGGATGCATGCAGGTGTGTGCAAGGACTATGGGTCAAAAAGGAAGGGAAGAGTCTGGCCAGATGTGTGAACAGCTGGAGGGTGAGCTTAGGAGGGGCACAGAGCTACTCTCACTGCTTGTCTCTTTCTCCAGCTGTCCTGTTTTATGGAGCTGTGGGTCAGGGCCAGCCCAGCTGCCCTGCTTCCTCCCAGCAATGCTGCTGGTCCCTGCGTGGAGAGACCCTCAGCAGCCCCGTGCAGCCTGAGGGCCGAGGCAGTAGTGGCAGCAGCCCACCCCGTATGCCCTGGCTGACTACTATGGCCGTGTACTGCTATGCGCTCAATAGCTTGGTGATGATGAATAGCAACAGTGAGGTGACAAGTGGCAGGAGCAAGACGCCTCCTCCTTCCAGACAAGTGCTGTCCAGGGGCCCTGAGACACCTGGCAGCTGCCGCCCGCTCCCTGTCTTCAGCCCAGCACCCGTCCCACTCCAGTCCCCGCACCACAGCCCTGCTTTCCTCTTCCCACCGCTTGAGGAGCCCCTGCGGCAGCAGGGCAGCCTGGAGGGGTGGCAGGGCAGCCAGGGTGAGGAGAAGCAACCCGGAGCCCCGGCAACACTGCAACCTCAGCAGGAGCTGATTAATGTCCAGGTGAAACAGAAAATGGGGCTATTTGAGGCTCATGTCCAGGCACACAGCTCTTCTGCTCAGCTGCCACAGAGTCCCCAGCAGTCCCAGCTCCTGCCTGCCAGCCCCACCATGCCAGTGGTCATGACTGGGAGTGGATCCCGGCCACGAGACTTCATGGAAAGTGAGGCTCCCGGTGTTGGTGGGGTGCAGGTGCAGCTGAGCACTGCAGAGCCCTCGAGGAGGCCAGTGGTGATGGTTGTCCCAGCTGTGGGGCTGGCAGAGGGCAGCAGCACCCTGGACCCATCAGGACCTGCATCACGGCGAGATGAGGTGGTGGTGGCCCCCTCAGGACTTGAGGGCCAGTGCCCAGCCATAGGCGGAAGCATCCCTGCCGTCATCATCACGGACCTGGGGGGCCCAGAGGAGGAGGCAGGCGCCATGCCCCCCAGCAGCCTGCCTGTCCGGAAGCTGTCATCATCCTCAGCCTCTTCCACTGGCTTCTCCTCATCTTGGGAAGAGTCTGAAGAGGACATCTCCAGTGACCCTGAGCGCACCCTGGACCAGCCACCAGCCTTCCTGCAGACCCTGGACCATCAGAAACCCCGAGTGGTGAGTCGCACACTAGCCCCAGAGAGGTGGGGCAAGGGCTGGCAGTATCCCTGCTGCTAGGCAAGGCTGCAGCAAGAGAGCAGAGTTCTGTCACAGCAGAGGTCTGCAAAGGAACTTTCCATTTGCTTGGCAGTGCTTGCTTTCCCTTGCATGGAAAGCTTGTTATCCCTGTTCCTAATCTGAAAATCTGCTGCTCGCAAGAGAGAGCAATGGTACCCATCCTGCTCTGCATGTTTCTTGTAGAGCTTCCCCAACACTGCAAGCTGCCCGCTGGCATGCTTAATGTGCACCCATGGAACTGCAGCCTGCTGCTGACATGTGGTTAAGAGCCTCAGCTTCCCCTTAGAACATCTTCCCTTAGTTCTGGAGGTTTCCCATGATTTACGTGAGCCTAAGGGAGAATTTATTTCCTCCTTGCAGTCAAAACTGTGTGGGCCAACTGTTTGTTAAAATTTATACTGATGTTCATCACCATAGCGTCTGTGTGCCTTTCACATGGAAGCAAAAATTTCTAGAATTTCTGGTAATTCACCTTTTCAATAAAAATTTTGCTTGTGGGGTATCTTGTATTTTAGGTAAGCATATTTTTATTAGGTATTTATAGTAAGTTCATTTGTTTCTGGAGCTTTGTTTGTTGTGGGGCTCTTTGGACAGTTTCAAGTGAGAGAAAGCAGTGCTTAGAGCTGAAAGGTCTCCTCGGAGAGGTGGGCTTTGAAGTGCTATCCAAAGGCAGACACTCATGGGATTTCTTATATCACTTGGGGAATTCGTTCCTTGTCTGAATGCCCCACAAAAGCCTGTATTGACCTGTCACACCATTTATCCAGAGGGCTTTGAACCACTTTATCCCTGTGCAGGGTGCCTATCACAAGGTTCTCTGATCAGCACATGGGGTCTTCAGTCCTCTGGTTGTGAGACTTCACATTGATTTGAGCTGAGCACTGGAGTCTCATGCTGACAAACCCTGAAAAATACAGGACAACCCAGTGTCACCTTAATTTTGAGTTTGATAAAGACCCATCAATTTTCACTGATGTGGTTCACTGTGTTTAACTTTACAGAAACACATGGTAGTGAAACTCATGCTGAGCTCAATGACACAAGGAAGACCTGTACAGGGGAACATCTAAGTAAATTGAAGGTATCAAACTCATGAAGAACTGACAGACTGTGGTTTGCAAAACACTCGTCAGGCTGAAGTAAATATCTTTGCTTTTCTACTTCTTCTGTCCTGTTTCAAGAACTCACACTCAGTTCTGCTCAGGATGGAGAAACAGTTGAGAAAAGAACAGTTAATGAAGTTACGAGTCTGTAACTCATTATGTTTGCAGCCAGTTTTGTATTTTGGGGCTCTCAACTGATGAATCAGCTTGCTTCCTTTGGGAGCTGCTACAGTACTTCTGCTGATAAAATTCTCTGGGTTTTGTATGTGAGCTGTAGTAATCTTTTCTCTTTTCTCCATACTAATAACTGTTGCTAGTGCCAGGTCCCACTGATTAGCTGCTGAAAACAGTTTTCTTGATGGGCAAAATCATGCCTGATGCTCTTGTGGAAAGGCTCCTGGAGCCTCAAGCTGACCCTGTGCAGCCTCCTGTGGCTTCCAGTGAGCTCAGCCAGCATGGTGGCTGGGCAGTGAACAGGCAAAGCTTGTTTTTAGTGCCAAAAAGCCTAGATCAGAGCGAGCTCACATCAGATCCAAGATCAGAGTAGCTCCGATGGGCTCAGTGGGGTTATTCCAGGCTAAACATCATGAAGATCTGGTCCAAAATGTGCCAGGCAGCCTGAGGAGGGGCACTTGATTTCATGTTTCAGTGCTGGAGTCATCTCTGCAGGAATGGCTGGGCTAATTTACAATTATACTTTCCACTCAGCTCCACAGGTCCTGTGAAGGGCTGACACTGGATTTGGCAGGTTATTGTCAACTCAGCAGGATTGAGTGCAAATGCCCAGTAATTCAGAGTGGATTTATATGAATAACGCCCAACTTTGTGTACCAGTTGGCAACATCTTTTAAATCAGCAGAAAGCAGCTACTGCAGCAGTCTCAGGTTGAAGACTCATTTGTTTTCATGAACTCACTATTTCCTTTTAACAATGCACACTGTCTGGAAATGAGTTGTTTAATGAGGGAGAATGTATGAGAAGCTCTCTCCGCAACTCATGCTTTTCCGTCAAAATAAATCCTGCCAGACCTCAGCCAACAGAAATCAGCATCACACCTTTGGGCTGAGCAGATCAGTGCTGGGCAGACACAGGACTCTGCCTGCCTGCACTGGGTGCTGCTGGTGCAGGGGAGGGCTGCAGTACCTGGAGGAGAGGTAACCATGAATGACAGGAAAGCAGTTCTTGCTGCAGGTACAGTCTGCACCACACATCTCACACAGTTTGTTTACAGGTTTGATAAAGAGCAGACTTGCTTCTGCCCTTCCTTTCAGGAGGTTGCCTGGCTTAGCAAATCTGTTAGGGATGTCCGGCTGTCTATTGTAGTTCCTCCTGACCTCCCTGGGAAACAGGCAGATCTCTCTGGTTGGCACAGGCTTGGATAGGAAACTTGATTTGCAGTCAGGCCTGCAAATTGACCAGTAAGAAAATCACATTGCCTAGCAAAAGGGAGGAGGAAGAGAGGGAGGGGAGTGTGGTCACTTTTTTGAACACTGTGACCTGAGACATCTTGGTGGCTGATACAGGCTCTGCCCTTTTTTAGTGAAACAGCTCTCTTAGTACGTTGCGTGTCCCTAGAGTGCTTTGGTGCCTGGTGGGCTGTGCAGTGCTGTGCGTTGTGCAGTTGTGTTGTGCAGTGCGTTGATTATAGCAGACTTCTGAAGTGTGGTGACAAGAGCAATTTGACATTTTGCTAACTGCAAGTCCACCTAAAGTCTGAGCAAACCTCCATGCAAGGGCTTTTGCAGCTGTGGCTTTCCCCGAGCTGTGGGCTGCTGCTGGAGAAACCCCACACTTGTTTATTGATGCTTGGCAGGTCTCAAAAATGCTTGGGCGATTACACTTCTTGACTGTGTGGGAGGGATGGCTTGTCCAAGCAGTGTGTTGGGATGGGGTCACTGCAGTGTGACAATGCTGCAGGGCAGTGCTGGCTGCTGAGCCCCTGCAGCAGTGATGTGGGTAGTCTGGGGAGGGAGCAGGTGCCTCTGTTCACCCACTGCCTGGGCCAGGGGTATGAATCAGCTGTCCAAAGATGCCTGTCTCCATCATGGTACATCTCATGGCTGATCACACAGGTTGGGTGTGGGGGGTGGGGGGGTGAGAAGGTGACCCTGTCCTGAGTGGCTTAGGTAGCCTGAGATGGTAGCCTGGCTCCTAATGGACATTTCACACCCAAAATAAGCCTCATTATAGCTGTGACTCCCATTGACTTCAACAGGAAAACACAAGCCTATGAGTTTTGCTCTTTGTGGGGGACCCTGTTTGCTCTTTCCAAGGGATACCCGATAGACCAAGGTGTACTCAGCTGGAGGAGGCTTGGCCCAAGTGTTGGAAGTTGGCCATGCCCCTTAAGAGAAAGATATTCCAAAGCTGGTCATCACTTGTTGTCATTGACCGAAATCCCCTAGTTTGTCAACTCCTTGCCAACTAGAGACAAAGCAGAAGATGAGTGGAGGGAAAGGCATAAATTGTGCAAGTACATTCTATAGAAAAGTGACAAGTCAAGGGGAAAAAACCCACCCTCCTGGAGAAACCATGCAGGACACCGGAGTATTCCTCTTCCTGGCCTTCCCACAGCCACTGTGGAAACAGGACATATGGCAGAATAGTAATCCAGTGAATCTTGGTACATTGTGAAGCCTCTGCTCCTCTCAACAGGCAGAGCAGCTTGCCCAGAATAAGAGACTTCCATTAACTTGCACAAAATGGCAAGAGCTTTTGGAAAAAGCTAATGGCATTGCTGCTGAGAGGTGTTAAAGTTGATTTATTTCTTTGACTCACAATGGATGTAAAGCATTTCTGAAAGGAGCCAGGTTTAGACAGGGTTGGTGTCAGCCAAGGGCCTTTGGGACCCTTGCTTATTTGTCTTTGAAGTGTTCCAAGGCATAAGCTGATAACAGCACTCCTGATTAGATCATATAAAAATCAATTAAATTAAATATGCTTTCATTCTGTTCCTAGCTGTCACTGTGATCAGGAAGTCTCTGTGTAACAAAAAACATGATCACACATGCATGCAAGTCCCATGAATGCAGTATGACTTTATGCTGACTGTGTTCGTGTATTTTACTCCTTCCTTCCACCATGTTCGTCTTAAAAGCTCCTAAGCTTATGAGCTTGTGAGTGGTATCACCAATTTAGTATCAATTTAGTATCAAGTCTAGCATATTTAGGGCCTTGCTTGCTTGCTCTGAAGAGTGACTGTTACTCTAGAAATGCCATGGGAAGGTGCTTGGCACACCAGATAATCTGCCGAAGGATAGAGCCTCCTTCAGCCCTGCTGCGGGAAGTCTAGGAGGAGGTAGACACCTCTGTGTTTCCACTTTCAGATCACCACGCTTAGCAGAGCTGACAGTATGGCGTGTTTTGTCTGCTGGAATGAGATCAGGAACCCCTGGTGCCCAGCAGCCTGGGCAGAGCTTCAGGCTCTTCATAGATGGAGGCTGTGTGCTCTGGACAGTTCACAAACTACCACTCTCTATTTCGTAGCTTATCTTGTACCTACTGATGTGGCCATCTTGGGAAATAAGCAGCTTTTTTATGGGCTTCCATCCATTGAGGCATAGTGAAGATGCTGCCATAACCCAATGGGAGACAAACAGTGCTATTTCAAGCCTGTTTTCATCACCAATTTTAAGCTCATTGGTAAGTGTTTCTTCTCTTCTCACATTCTCCATGATTGACAATGTAGAAATTAAATGGCACGTAGCAGATCATTTTCATAGAGGGACTTACTTGCTAGCACAGCTGCTATCTTTTACATATTTTGCCTCACAATTTCACACTGAAAGCATTCATAAAAAGTGGAAAAAAGCCCAAAGCATTTTTGAGGTGCTGGAA